ATTGCATAAGGAGGTGTTATTATAAAATATTTTAGGAAATGAAAATAACGTCGTRTACTACACCAAAAGGCAACAATAAACTATAAAGAATAGAAATCGTAGTATAACAATACACAACTACACCATTTTAATATAAGGGTAATATTTTGGAAATGCCACTATACTGTATTAATTTCTAAAAAAAGTTTGTATTTAATTAAAATAAAAATAAGCATTGGTAAACCGTATTAATACATTATAATATCACATGGTTTGTCTGGAATTTTTTGTTAATGATGATAATATTATGTTATAACTATTTACTTCAAAAACTTTATTAAACCTTCACAGTTCACATATGTCATTCGTATTTTATTAATTCTGTTGTAATGAATATTTTATGAGCTCTATAATAATGATAACTACACTAACATAATATACATATAATATAATATCGTACGTCATGTAACATAAACATGCAGAGCTATGTCCAAAGTCCTAAAGGGAAGGATGTGAAACTTTTAGTTTAATATTCAAAATTTCCGTATCGATGCCTTTAAAATATACTATAATATAATATTAAATTAGGTAAATACGGAGAATTGAATATTTTTAAAAATTAGCATCAAAAACTATGCATTGATTGAATCTGTTAGTTATTTACTCAGTAGCAATATAATAATATTATGCCAAATTTAGCACCAAGATTTACGAATGATTTAAATTAATTGATATCGTGAAAAAGATGCACACACAAATAGATTATTCTACGTTATACTTTATTAATGCCTAATAAATATGTATAGTAATGTCTTCCTACAGTATGTAAGTATGGTAATATTATGTATAACATATAACGTGAAAATTTAACATCTGCTAAACTGAAAAATAATATTATATTAATATATATATACCTATATACTAAACATGAATAACACGGTGGATATAAAGTATTTAAGTAATAAGAAAGTAAATACGATTTTCAGTACCGTGAGAATTGTAGCCCCAGAACACAAGAATAACTATTAGCAAACATATTGCATAATAACGTAAAAATATTTGATTAATTTATTCCACTTTAATACACGTTATAGACTAATTCGTTATCGTAATTAATATTTTTTAATATTTAAAGTTGGTAATGAAAAAAATAAAATAAATGTGAGAGCGGGAGGTAAAATTAATTCTTGACGACGAATATATGAACAAGTGGTCGATGATATTGACAATTATTTGCAATATTATAACATGGCCTATTACAAAAAAAAATGTAACAAAATCGAGCAGTTTAGAATATTAAGCAGTCCATACTACATAAGGTCATAATATTGTACCAGTAAATATATAGGTAAGATAATTGACATTTGCAGTCTGGCGGTAATTATTCGCCACAGATTAATGCTCATACTTTTTTCATTTTATTGTTATGTGTTTTTATGAAGTCAAATRRAWCCAAATTTGGTTGTAAATTAATACTCATAAATACATTTTTATGGGCGAGCCTTGAGGAAAAAAACAAATTCATTACTTATATTAAGTATACGATCACACGCAAAAGTCACTGCAACGATTTGTTACTATATTATGTAATTTATTACAATAATTAAACTAATTTCGTACATTTAACATTATTTACCGAAGATTGTTTTCACAGATACCTACCTATAACACTATCGATTTCAGCTAAAAATGACAAGACAAATCTTGGTATTATAATAATATTAATAATAGTATTCTTAACCATTGCTCGAATCTTCCAAATTTAAAAATGAAATATWATTATTAAATTAATTTGCGTAAAGCTCAACGGTTAGATGTAAAACGGCATAAAAATCGTAGYTTGTGAATCCATGGTTGTAGGTACCTATATTATATTATTGCCACTGTACCGTACCAGAATTCGTTTAAGAAATGTATAAAACAGTTTTAATTATAAATTAAAATGAACGGTCTCGATGGAAATAAAACTACGATTATTAAGATAAAGAATAAATYTGTATWTGTTACCTATCTACAACATAGTATTCGATATTTTATGAAATGTGAAATGGGTTCACCTAAAACTCAACCAATGACTCACAATGAGAATCTTAGAATGTTACATTGATTATTGAAGTTATTATGATACGCGAGAGAGTCGAAGAGACAAACAGTAAAACCAAATATAATAACGACGACTCAAAAGGAAAAAAGAAATAAACATTAATTATTAAATCTATCTTAAAAAACGCGTCTATTTTTTAAATGCCAGATAAATARTGTCACATTGCCAAGCGAAAACATCTAATTCTAAATGAGATAGATTATTGAATAAAAAATATAGTATCGTTTTACTGTTTTTATGATATAATTATACATTTCATGTTATTAAATTTTAATATTAGATCATAATGATATACATTGATATCCTAAACAATTACATATTATTATTTAATTTTAATTTTTCAGTTAGGTTTATTATATAATATGTTTTTGTTATGTTATTTTACACGAATTTATAAATTGTACCTATTAAACGAAACGATTTTAATTTCCACATACTATATTATATTGTGTTGTATAAAACGTATATGGTACCTATACCCAAAAAGAAAATGCTAGTTTATTTTTATTATTTTCTAATGGTAATAGTAGGTAATATAATCATGAATAATACTTCAATACCCTTTGTAACACACTAGACATTATACACATAGACAGTATATTATAAAAATAATGATATGATTATAGAATCACAAAATCTAGTTTACAAAAATATTATTACTTTAAGCCAGGGCAGTTTTTCTAAAGTCTTAAACTGATAGATTAAGTAAAACTAATGTATAATAGTAAAAAATAGAATCTAAAGAGGTAAAATATTTTGTTTTTCTTATTACATGAAAGTATTTTTAGTATTATAAAAATATTTACAAAGAATTTTATTTCGTCAGATATCATATTATAATAATTGCTGATCAAAGTTTCAAATAAACGAATTTAACCTAAATTATACGTATTATTATAATAATATTATTATTAAATGCATGCATTACAAACGTAAATATA